CAGAAGAAGTGCTCTCTTTGTGGAACATTGACTTATGAGCTGCGAGAGCATGCTAGAGATGCGCATAACTATTCAACTGCAAGTTCCAAAGCCATGTTAGGTCAATTCAATTTAAGAAAAAAACAAATTTCAGATGAAAAACCTGTTAAAAAAAGTCTTACTACACGAAAATCTGTCCAACTTCAAGTAGCTATATTGACACTAAAATATTGGTGAACATTTTCGAGGTGAACTACATAGCTTAAAACTTGGGGAAGAGTATTACTGCCTGCTGAAACAGGCACGTCATTTTGATTCTTCCTTGATTCCTGTTGGTATGCTTACATTTTCTAAAAAAGATTTTGGAGTTAAAAGTAATAATAAAAAATTTCAAAAATCGAGTTAAAAGTAATAATAAAAAATTTCAAAAATCGAAAAAAATATTCATATCCTATTTAGAATCAGAGAGTTCTATTTTTCAATTTAGTTACTCCTGAGCCTGAACCATCATGTCAATTAAATTCTTTATTTTTTCCTTTTGGAATACTTTCAACTCCATAAAATGACTATGAAGTCAATATTAATAAAGATAATGTTGTTGCATGTTAAATTTGTGAGCCATAAATCATTAACTCAAATATATCATCTGCAGAAGAGTGTTCTAGCAGTGATTCAGAATTCAGTTCTAGCAGTGATTCAGAACCCTTTCCTGATGAAAATGAATTTAAAGTAAATCAATTGAAAACATATTGGAACTTTTTTATGGTTACCTTACTGCTCCAGATTGAGGACGTAAACCAAGATCAATTGTTAAAGTGATACAGGATGTCAGTCGAGTAATAATTGGAACTGGAGAAATTTTATCTCTTGCTTCCATTTTTAATGAACCTGAAGTTTGTATCAGAAAAATTATATAGAAAAGAATTTCTTTGAACGCAACATTCTACCCGGAAGTATACGAAAATATCTGTGTTCATTTATTGATTTTTAAAGTTATTTGCCTTCAGAACGCCTCCATAATCAACAAAAGAAGGCTGAAAATTATTAATTGTTAGTTCACCTGAAGAAATTGAAAAGCATAATAACAGCATTATTGACCAAAAGGCAATTGAGTTCTTTAAAAAAGTCCTTCAAAACCCTAATATCACTAATAATTAAACAATGTATTGTTCCATAAGGGATCATTTGTTTGTCATTTTGGAATTTGGAAATCCACATCGCTCAGGTGTCATTGCATATATGAAAATGAAGGAATATGAAAAGTCCAAAAAATTAAATGATGAAATTGCGGAAGTATATGTATGAGATCATAAAACTGTTGAGAATTACAGAGCAGCCAAAGTGACCATGTTAAACCATGAATTTAAACTTTTAAGTACTTATGTTAATTTTGAGAAAAATAAAAATGACAACCACAATCAATAAAATGTGTTCTTGTCATGGTCGGGCATCTGACATCTGGAGATATAAGTAACAGAATCGATAGCCTGTGGCAAAAATCAGGCATAAACAACAAAAATCAAAAGCGCAAACTTTGCGCAAATTTTATTCGACAACCCCTCAACAATCATAAAAGAAAGCAATAGCAGTTTTACCAAGGAGGTTGCTCACAATATGCTGCAAAGTGATCAAACAACAGAAAAACATTATTTTAAGCAAAAACAAAAATCTGCTTCTGTTGGTAGTCAAACACTTTGAGATCATTTTTATCTTAATCAAAAATCAAATATTGAAACTGATAGTTTGCCTGCAGCACCTGGAAAATGTATAAAACCAGATTTAAAGAAATATACACCAAAAAAAACTTGGAATTCAAACGAAGTTGCTCTCCTTCATAGCTATATTGAAAACAACCAAAGTCCAATTTTGTAACAATAATTAAATTTAACTTTGATCAAAACTTTTCATCCATTAAAGCTTCCCCGCGCCAAATAGATGACAAACTACGAAGCATTGAAAGATATGGTTTCCCTGATAAAAAGGTAAAGATTTTTTTTATATACAAATGCTTATTTAGTAGTATTATTAGAATATTTAACCCTATATTGCACTTTGTATATTTAAAGAAACACAGTGTATTTTACTTGTTTTCACAGTGTTAATTAAACGCAACACAGTGTTAATTAAAAGAAACATAGCCATTTTTAATATATTCGAAAAGTATAACATTAAAACGAGGCAAATGCGCAAAAAAACAATCGCTGGTTTCATAAAATCTAAAAGATATTGCAAAGAGTTTAAAACCTGCTTTAAATTCGTGATGTTAAAGATATTGTTCATATGCTTTTGAAAATTCATTGAAGTATATGAAAGGTATGCTTTTGATTTTTTTATTATAAGTTCTTATAAAATAAGGCATTAGAATTGTCTATTTTTATTTGAGTCATTGTACTTTGCTCTTTAGATACAGCTTAAATTTAGTTTGTATCTTTAAAGCAACAACATCCGTTTAGCTATAATAATCAAGTAAATATTTTATTTATTTCATTTTAGATGAATTTTAAAAATTTCTATAGCAAGAGCAGAAAATCGACACAAGTTATACGAGATCTACCAGCCCATGCTGTTTCAGAGGAAAGTGACTTGTCAAGTGAAAGCGAAGACGAGATGCTTGATTTAATTGAAATTGAAGAAGAGGAAGAAATTTTAGATTGCAGTAGTAATGATGAAATAGCTGCTCTCGTAGAAAATACCAAATTAACAATAAGGCCAAAGATAAGTTGGTTTGGAAAAAACATTACCCAAATACTATACCAAATTAAAATGGAGTTTGAAGCATTGGAGTATGAAGATGATCCTGACAATGACAAGCCAATATATTTCTTTTGGAAATTTATCACAAATAAACTACTTGATATAATTGTAAACGAGTCTAACAAATATGCTGTTCAAAGCAATTTAAATGACCCTTTGAAAATAACAAGAGCAGAGTTGAAACAGTTGATTAGGATATTGTTAGCTACAAGCTTAATGAAAATGCCTAGCACTCGAATGTACTGGTGTAAAGAGTTCTACTTTAACAAAGTTGCAGATGTTATGACTTTAAAACGCTTTGAAAAAATTAAAAGCAAACTACATTGCAGTGATAATTTAAGCCGCCAAGATAATTGTTTCAATAAACTATACAAAATTCGTCCAGTGATTGATTATTTAAAATATAAATTTGTTAAGCTAAGACCATATGAACAACTCTGCATTGATGAACAAAGTATTCCATTCAAAGGAAAGTCAAATTTAAAGCAATTTAACCCAAAAAAGCCCAAAAAGTGGGGTTATAAGCTGAATGTGGTATCTGGAACTGACGGTTTGGTTCATAATTTTGATATATATACAGGATCTATTGGCACGTGTCCAAATCAACCAGATCTTAAAGCTTCTGGAAATATTGTTTTAATCCTTCTGCAAAATATACCTCGAAATATACCATTGCTTTCAAACCATCTGTTAAACTGTAAAATGTCTCTGATAAGGATAAGAAAAAGAATGGTAGTGGTTCAGTTGAACTGTGGACTGCAGATTCTGATGGATTAGAACTACGTGCCATAAAATGGTACGATAATCGTGGTGTAAATTGGCTACCTACATATGAGAGCATCAATCCCTTCACAGAAGTCGAGCGCTTTGATATAAAGTTAAACAAAAAAATTAAAGTAAAATGTCCTTCTGTTGTACGCACATACAACAAGTTTATGGGTGGTGTGGACCTCCTAGATTCATTGATGGGTCTTCATAAAATCCAGATAAGATCTAAAGAGTGGTACCATTGGTCATTGTTCAAGCTTGGATTTTATACCGTCGATGTGTTTCTGGCACTACTAAGATCTTGAAACTGCGTGAATTTAAGATGCAAATTTCAAACTGTTTATTGCAACAAGGTAAAGCTGGTCCTTCAAAAAGAGGACGTTTATCATCATCAAACGTTAAACAGGAATTAACAACAAAAAGATCACGTGGTCCAGTAGCTTTAGTCTCAGTATTTGCCATTCGAACAGATGGTTTGCATCACTGGGCAAACTTTGTGCCTCATGGGAAAAAGGGACGTTACAAAAATGGCCAAGTTAATTTGTGTTTTTACAGTGCTAAGTTAATTTGTGTTTTACAGCCAGATCCAATTGTTTCAAGCGCTTTCAAACTGAATAATTTATTCTTAATCGTTTTTTAATTATAAACTTTTAAAAATTATTTTGTGGTATTTAATTGAATAATTTTCCAATTCTTAGTGTATAATTCTTTGTGTGTTTTTGAGTGTGTTTAGGGTTTTGTTTCAATTTGTTTAGGAAATTTTTTTGATATCAGTCAAATAAAGAAAGACCAACCTATTGCGCGTTGTTTCTTTAAAGAAACAAAGACCAAAAAGACCTTTTGAATACATACTTTGAAAAAAAAAAAAAATTTATGTTTTTAGATGCGTTTTATGTTGAAAAAAAAGCATGCACATTTTTTCTATTCATTTTTCAGAATGTGTGCAATATAGGATTATGTTAATTTATTAACTACTTAATTTAGATATTTAAAACTGGTATCGCGTCAATTGGTCCCCCGTCAATAGATCCCCGTCAACTCGTCCCCCCGTCAATTGATCCCCACGTCAATTGATCCCCTGCCAATTGGTCCCCTACCCATTTGTCCCCAGCCTATCATATTACTTATTCCATAATTGATCCCCTTGCAATTGTTGTCCTGTAAACGATTATAATAACAAATATATCAAGAGGTAATACGTGTTAAATGTGAAAATAGTTTCCTATTTATAATTAAAAAAAAATGAAATCAATCTTATTTTCAAAATTAGGATATTGTTTATTGAAAATAGTTTCCTATTTAAAATAAAAAAAATGAAATCAAACTTATTTTCAAAATTAGGATATTCTTAAATTCTTCCTTCAATACTGTCGTTGTGGCGAATTTCAATAAATCAATAAATCATTAATAAATCATTAATAAATCATTTATTACAATATGAAGATAAACTTTTTCTATATAAGGATGGCTTATAAGTTTGTTAGCATCATAAATCGAGAATGGAAGTCACATTTGGAACTTCTGAACGTGGACAAGAAACTGTTATTTATCGCGGGTTCGAGTATTGGAAAAAGAAGAGCAATGTATGCGGGACGATATCTTGGCGGTGCAAAGAATACAGACGTCTCAACTGTAGAGCTACCATCATAACATCGGGGAGGAGAGTCACAGGCGAAAGACAGCCCGATCACACGCACCAAGGGAACATCGCGACTTCGCTTGCGCGTAAAGCGGTAGGACAGATGAAGGAGAAGATGGCCGAACTGATGTCAACACCGAGCTCGTCGCAAGCTGTAGTTTCATCTACATTGGACGACCACGTGCTCATAGCTTTGCCGAGGAAATCGCTACTTAATCGAACAATGCAAAGAAAACGTCAAAAATTGAATGCTGCGGCCAATGGTGAAGCACTGTTGCCTCCAATTCCAGTTGACTTAACATTCGATGTCCCCGACATGGACAAGGAAATGGTTCTCCCTGGACAGAATCGCTTGATACAAATGGGATGCCAGGAGCTACAAGACGGGCTTGCTAGATCCGATATATGGCTGGCAGACGGAACTTTTAAAGTAGTTCCTAACCAGTACTTTCAACTGTATTCCATTCATTTTGCGTTCGGCTCGGGAATTAATCCGGCAGCATGCTTCTGTCTTTTAAACAACAAAACAGCTGAGTCATATGGTACGGTCCTTCGTGAACTTCATAATCTTATTCCGTTGGCAGCGCCCAAAACAATTCTCGTTGACTTCGAACGGGCTGCGATTAATGCTTTGAGCATCCAGTTTCCTACTGCAACTGTGTCCGGATGCTACTTCCATCTTACTCAGAGTGTCGTCCGAAAAGTTGTCGAAGTTGGATTGAAGGTACAATATGAACACGATGAACAACGTCCGAGGGTATGATCGTTGCTTATCGGCTCTCGCCTTCGTTCCTCCAGCCGATGTAATAGAAGCGTTCGAACTTCTCGCCGAAACAGAACCAGATGTTGAGCACTTGGCTGAGGTGACCACGTTTTTTGAGCATACGTACGTCCGTGGTCGCAGACAACGAGGGCGTGGAGAGAACTTCGGTTCGGCACTATATCCCATTGAAACCTGGAATAAACACGCATCTGCTGTCGACGGTATTGCACGCACGACGAACTCGGTGGAAGGCTAACATCACGGTTTGCAGTCTATCTTTCAGTGCCAGCATCCGACAATGTGGACCTTTTTTCAAGGTCTGCAACGCGACATTCAGAGGCGGAAGACATCATTCATGCATGGAGTTACCGGTTTGGAGCATCCGTCAAGAAAAAGGTATAGAGCATTGGAGGTTAGAGTGGAACGCGCTGTAGCTTCTCACGGTCGAGCAGACATCCTGCTATATCTTAGAGCATTGGCTCATTTGTCACATGCTTGAACTGTTATTATGTTATGACCGTGTTCTAACTTTTACTTTATATTCATTTTACTGTGTTATATTTTGTGTTATAAACGGACACGGCCTGGCACCAGCCGTAAGTGGACTTTATTTCGTTTAACTTTTTTTTATGTTATATGATAGGCTGGAGACGAATGGGTAGGGGACCAACTGGCAGGGGATCAATTGACGGGGGGACGAGTTGACGGGGATCAATTGACGGGGGATCAATTGACGTGAATTCAAAAAAACTGAACTAAGAGTTTAATATATTTAACTATTTTTAAAATTTTTCTTTCAGCCTTTTTATTTGCTTCCTTCTCAAAAAAGTTATTTGTATTTTGTTTTAAAGTATTTTATTTTAAAAAAAGAATTTTTGTGTAACAGAGATTCAAAAAAAGCCATGAGAGTGAGAAGATATATCTTTAAAGTTCAAGTCATTTAAATGCACTTCGTAATCATGATGCATCCGTAATTGAAAGTGGTTCGTTATCATTAACAAGGCTAAAGAGTGATAGATAAATATAATTGGTTTGTTAAATAGATATAGCTTCACGCAGTTGAGAACCAGAATAAATAATAAAAGACCAGGAAAAAAGGAGAATGATTACTTAAACCAGTATAAAAATTGAATGATTACTTACACCAGTATATAAAAGAGAATGATTACTTAAACCAGTATAAAAAAGTTTATTATAAGTAGATTATATAGTAGCTAAGAGTAGATTATATATTAGCCATTTTTATAGACAAAAAATTTAGTTAGTATATATAAGTCACAAATTTTTGACTGTTTGTTTAAACAAGAAAGTTAAAATTATTAAGAAGCTTTTAAGAATACATATTCAGAAAATAAGTTATTAGATATCATTTAATACTTCCTAATTAACCTATATTAATTTACTGAATTATTATTCATATCTAACTCTATTTAATTTTTTTTTTTTTCATAAAATTGTATAAAACTATAAAATTATAAAGTTTGAGCAAACTGCCCTTTCAAAAAACACTGATTCAATTATTTTTGAAGTTTCAAACCTTAAACATTTTGAAAAAAAAATCCCATATTTTGCAAAAATTTAAATAAGTTAAAAAAAATAAAATAAAAAAACTCTTAATTACTATAAAACCGCGGAGACTAAAACCCCCACGGCCGAAGGCGTCTATGGCAATGGAAATGTCTGCTTTTTTATATATGTAACCAATATTATTTCATAATATTGGTAATATGACATTAGTTGGCAATAATGAAAAAATCAATTATACAGTTGGAAATTATGCTGCTTTTACAATTATACAACTATTTTGCACAATTAATTTTTCAATAAAAAAAAAACATTTCAAAAAGATTTGATCAAAAATGGTTCAGACGATGCCGTATATGCAACGTTTCTCAAAACCAGTTGCAATCGACTCAATCGGTGCACCCTTGTAACTAGAGTTTTGCATTCAACAGATTTTTTTTTAATTTCTACATTTTATCATTAAAGTTTAGCAGAAACGACCATCACCAAGGTATACCTTTTATTGCTTTTCTTTTTGCAACAATAAAAAAGTTAACAAGCATCACTTGATTCCATAGCAGATGACGATCCAATATCAGTAGTTTTACACTTTTGGTAATGTGATGACAGGAATTTTTCATATTTAACTGGATAGGTTTATTTATTTAACTTTTATATAAAATATAATTTATAACTTTGAATCATATTGTATATAATTTTATATAATTTATAACTTTGAATCATATTGTAGCTTTTTGTGATCGTAGATAGTTTCATATTTATTATTCAACAAAATTTTCTAATATCCTTTACTCATTTTATGCAAAGCTACAACAACACGGGTGCTAATGTCAAATGATTTTTTTCCACCTTCCTTGCGTTTAATAAGCTCTTATTATTCAACGAAAAAAAAGTTTTCCAATAACAACTGATATAACATAGTTTAAATCCAATAATAAAAATCGTATTTTTTTTGAGGAATGGAACATTAAATGAACATTATCTTTGCACTACAGTTTGGCAGCAGCTTAACACAAAAAGAGAATTTTGTCAATGAAGGCATTATAATATGCTAATAAACAAGAAGTCGTTGCAGAGTACAATTTGCTAATTTGAGTTGAATAAGTTTTTTTATGTTTTATATTTACGATTTAGCATGTTTCCTAGCATAAAACGAAAAAAAGAAAAATTATAACGAAACATTCTAAACTAGTTTTGATATGTGAAGCATTTTTTTTGTATTTGTATTAACTAAAACCTCAAAATCTGCGCCTATTCTATTGGTTAAATAAAGAACTTGTAAAAAAAACTTTTTTTTTTCACATTTACTAATGTACACCCACCTTTAACTGAATCAAATTGTTAATATTAAATATAACAAAAATATTTTTGGATAATACGAGTACCTCGAAACAAATAAAACTGTCATTTTGCATGTGTTAGTATTTTGATATATATTTTTTTGGTTTACATTTGTTGGTCGTTGTACAACTTTATATAATCAATATTAAAACTGTAATATAAACTTACAATCATAGAAAATAAAACAAATATGAACAAGGGATCTGAAAGAAGATTGCGAGAATCTTGTTGTCAGAACTTTAAATAAGCATTTAACAAAAATAAGATAGAGAAAACTTAATAAACTTTGACAAAATTGAAGGTAATCTATGTATCTGAAGAAATATCAAAAAAATCTCCTCATCAGAACGTTATAGAGGAATAAAGCAACATATAAATTAAAATTTTATAAGATATATTTTAGAAAATATATTTAAAACATATTTTAAGTGCAAGAACAATAATTAAAATAAGTAGGATTAAACTTCCATAAACTTAGACATATTTAAACAGAAAAAAAGTAGACTTAAATATATTTTTACGTTTAACTAATAATCAAAACTTAATATATTATCTAATAAAAGAATGAGGATTGTTAGATTATTTTTAAAATGGTTAACAATATTGATTTTTCAATAATAAAATTCAGCAATACAATTTTATTCTAAAGGTTGAAAGGTAACAATGGAAGGCTGCATAAGATGAGCAAGTTCCTTAGATGGTAAAACCTCTTTTACGGGTAGTCTACTAATTTTTTTGCAAATTTTTTAATACGAGTTTTTTCAAATTTTATGCAAATATTTTCATACGAGTTTGACAGTGTTATTTATTTTAATATCATGGACGTATAGTTAATAATCTTTAATTGTTTTATTGTTTTTTAAATTTACCACACCCGTTATAATTTATGTTATTTAATATTTTCAAATTACGTCAGAACGAAACGAAATCATCAAAAATTTCAAAATCATCAAAAAATATTTATGTGGAATCTGCGTTTCCAATAATTATTTACCATTTTTTAGGGAGAGCTTCTGTTGCTACTGATTTTAGGGAGTTCTTGTAGAACAGAAGTTAGAAATCTAGTATTTTAAAGATTATTTAAAACCCAGACAGGAATATCTTTAATTTTCGTATTATTTACTAAAAGCTATATAAACACTGAGACAAGTTATCGAAATTGTCATAATATTTTTGATAATTTTATTATCATACTGCACTATTGTACTGTTATACTATTTTATATTCATATCAAAATATATATTATTAAATCAAAAATGAAGTAATGATTTTTTAATTGTGATTTAACAAGTTCGTCAAATAAAAACAATTTTTCTTAATGAAAACAATCCATAAAAAATTATATATCAGAGTCGCTCTGAGGTTCATTGGAATTTGGGGCAAAATTTTATTTCTGAGACCTTTTTCTTAGGAACAATCATTTTTCTTTAAAAAATAATCTTTGAAACAACCACTTTCGTAAAATTTAAAAAAATGGCCCTTAAATAGTACTTGAGGCCCCTAAACCCTTTTATTAAGAATAGCTTTTACGAAAAACTATTATATATATAAAAAAAACCACTCTCATTTGGATTCTTATCCAAAATAAAACAGATCTTTGAAATGTTGTACATACTATATAATTACGTATAATTGATATAAATATAGTATATAAATAACTTAATAGATTGAATAACATTTAAAAACTATGTATTAATTGGAATAATAATACAACTTTCTTCCACGCCTTACCCTCACAATAAATTTTTTTTGTAAGCTAATAAAACATCGTTTTCATTATTTATTTAATTTCTTATCATGTTGTTAATAATAAAAATAGTTCTGAAAACCAATTTTTTTTGATAGATTGTGCTGTACCATCACCACTCAATTCCAAAAGAAAACCTCTAACTATTGCAAGAGAGCCGGAATAAAGAAATATATAACAACTTTAATTTTATAAATAACAAACTTTTGTTTATATAATGTATGTATGTTCACTTATATTATTTTCAAAAACATTAGTGACCAGTTAAATAATGATAAGTTTTAAGGCACCTGTTAAAAAATTTTGGTGCAAGATTTTATTACACTCTGTTTTACTAGGTAAAACACATTTAGGGGGTTAACTTAGTGAACAATAATGAAACTTGTTTTCAAGATTGTTCACATATATTAGGCTGATAACAGAAAACAATATTCAATGTTGCTTTTAAAACCACCCTAAAAAACACACACATTTTACGTTAATGTTTTCAGACTTGTGTGGTTCGGACGGTTTTCCATGTTTTTGTTTTCTTTATGAAAATTGTTGTGTGTCATCAATAATTAGCGTGCTAATTATTGACAAAAGTCACAAGTTGTGATTTTCTGTTATTATAACGTTTTTTGTTAATTGTCGACAAAAGTCACAAGTTGTATTATATTCTATATAAAGCGAACAATTATTTTGAAAAATGTCGACTTTATATATAAGTAAAAGAAAACGTTTACAACAAAAAATGGCTTTTAAATGTGTCGAACAACAAGCTAACCAGGCATGTCTATTATTTCCGCAATATGAAGATGGACAGCCAAAGCGATTTATTCGACAGATGACTTCCTTCTTTGCAATAAACAATATAACTTCAGATCAACACGTAGCGTTTTTGCTTGCAGCTCTGCCGTTAAAGACTTACAAGACCATGGAAGAATTAATAGCACCGGAAGTTCCAGAGGACGTTTTGTAAGAAGAATTGGTAACGAAATTGGAAACGTTGGAAAAAAGAAAATCATCGTTAATCTCACGGTATGAGTTTGGAAAAATTTACCGAGGTACTGAAGAATCTATACAGACGTTCGCGCATCGAGTGATTCGAGCAGCTCAAGACTGCAAGTTCTTGCCCTTAGAGAGAGACGGCCGACTTTGTGACCAATTCATAATTGGCATTAATGACCCAGACAGCAAGCTTACATTGGCCCAATGTAAGTTTTAACATTGCCAATTTTATTCCGTTGGGCCAACATTTAGCCAATGGTTTTTTTTGGCGTATTATTTTCAATTTTGCAAGTCGGTTTTTTGCAAATATTGTACAATATTGGGCCAACATTTAGCCAATGTTTTTTTTTCGACGTAATATTGCAATTCTACAAATCGGTTTTTTGCAATTATTTTACTACGTTGGGCCAATATTTGGCCAATGTAGTTTAGGCTTAATATTTTGCAATAAAAATCTTATACCGTTGCCAATATTCGGCCAATGTAGTTGCGGATTAGTATATACTTTAAAAACATTTTTAAAAATGGGATCGTTTGACAGAATATAAAAGGTTTTGTTTTCATTTTTTTTTAATTATAAAAAGAAGAAGCTATATTTATTAATCTTCTAAAAATCTTACAAGCTTCCTTATAAGAAATAAACTTCAAGAGATTCTCGTGACTTGATGTTTTGTTTTTTAAATTATAAAATATTTGTTAACATTTAAACAATATGTTTAAAACTTTGTGTAAGATCTTTAATTTATTATTTTATTTTTATTACTCTATTGGCATTTCAAATGTTTGATTTATTTAATAATCTTTATTAAATAAATGAAACATTTCAAATGCTCGATTTATTTAATAAAGAAAACATTTTAAATGTCTTCTTTATTAAATAAATCAAACATTAAAAATGTCATACAGTATAAGTTTTTTTTTCATAATTTATTTATAATAGTTTAGATTATATAGCTATTATAAGATATATTATTAAAGGTATCAATAATATATATGTGGCATTGTCGATGCCATTGTCAATGACAATGTCAACTTCAATGCCATTGAAGTTGTTAAAAGCTGATATTTTACATTTTAAATATGGCTCTTTTGTTTGATTTTTTACTGTGTTTGATTATCAAACCCCATCTACTGACATATTAAAACAGTGTAAAGAAGGTGATGTTACTAAAACTTATAGTCTACGTATGTAGAGCTTTCTAATATTCCATGTTTCTGAAGTTTAACTATTTTTTAATTTAACAATTTTGGCTATTTTTCATATTTAGTTTGCGTACAGCAATTAACTTTAAGCTTATACATTATATTTAGTTATAACTTAATTATTAATGATATGATATATAGATTTTTAAAGCAATAAAAGATTGAATTTAGCAGAAGGTTAAATTTCTGCTCTGGAGACAAAAAAGGAAGACAGCGAAAATGACCAGTCAAAATAAAGATTAAAGAGACAAAAAATTGTGTATATCTTGGTGTAGATGATTTATCTTTATTTTGTTATAATAAAACAAAAAATGTTATTAAACTTTGGGATTTACCTGTAACTCCAAACTCTTTACAGAAGTTCAATGTTTGCTCTGAGAAGTTGAATGAACAAATATATTAAATGGTAAGTTTTTAAATAAAAGTCTTTATGTCTGATGATTGAAAATCTTTATTCATAGCTTTAGCTTTTCCAATTTTAAAACTTTTTTATATATTACGGTCAAAAAGTCATAGTGTTAATTAACATTTTATTGTGTAATAATCAATATATCAAAGCTTGGTCGGGAAGCGAGAGCGACCCCTCACTAATACTGACCACGGAAAAACTGGCCAGGTTTTCTAGTCGATTTAACGTAACAAAATTTGTTTGTTGGATTTCAAAGTTGGTGTCACCAACTTTGAAATCTATTTGAATTCAACTGTTGAAAAAAACAACAGAGTATTTAAATCAGTTTAAGGTTTTAACAGTTGCTGGTGGTTCATTATTATTCATTATATAAACGTTTATTTTAATTTATATAATAGACGAAGGTAATACAATATTTTTATAGATGATATTATTTTGTTAAACTGTATTATTAAAATTCAGAATTAAAATATGTAAAAAAAATTATTTACAAACATAGGACAACTTTATATTTCAAATACAACTTTATAATACAAATAACCACACTTTTTATGAAAGTGAGGTTATTTGAAAAAAAATTTTTTTTTTCAAAAAAAAAGATAAAATTATAATGTAAAATAAAGATTTTTTTTGAATAAAAGAAACAATTTTTAGATAAAATAAAAATAAAGTTTTCTACAGGAGAAATGTTGTTCATTCTCTTGTAAAATTTTAATTTCGTGACTTGTCACATTTTCAAAATACAGCACTCAATCAAGCTATTGTGTTTTTTTTGGTGCTACTCATTTACTTTTTCTGAAACTTTTGTTTTTCTTTGTGATCGTTCTTAGTCATCCTTAATAATAAGATCCATACTAACATGTATAATAAGCTCCATACTAATATCCAACTTAATTAATAGCTAAGTTTTAAATGTTTTGTCATTGAAAGCATGTACAATCTTAGCATTTCCATTACAGAAGATAGTAATTTTAAACATTTTGAAAAAATGAGTTAAAAATTGTCAGGAAAATTTAACTGATTTTTCAAAAAAGTCATTGATTTTTAAAAAAATTGTTGGCTACGAACCCTGTTGAGAAAACATTGTTTTGAAAAACAATTTTTTTGATGTACAGTGGAATCTGTATTTTATAAGAAACACAAAACAATTCTCGTTAATGTGTAAGCTTAAATATTAACGAAAATTGTTTTGTGTCAGTGCCAGAAATTTATTTCATAATTCGTAAAAATATTATGAATCCATCAGCAAGCATATATTTTTATCATTAAAAATTTGACTCTTTAATTTTATCTGTTTTATTAGTGATTGTTGTATTTACTTTTATAAATTCAAAATATAATATGTAATTAGTTGTATAGTTTCTTAATAATATAATTAACTTTAATGTTTAATGTAAAGTTGTATCCTTGAAAGATATGCTGGTATTATTGGCACAACGTGCAAGCATTAAAGTGCAACTTGGTGAAATACAAAACACATCAAATTCAGTTATAAAAATTTGAGTAACAAAGATAATATTTTTTTATTATCTGTTTAGGCATTTTGTATGATATCTTAGTACAACTTATATACTTTTAATAAAGTACTCTTTGAAGATTTCTTGTAAATGACATTTTATATTAATTTAAGTCTTAACAATAGTGACTTAAATTATTGCCAGGTTGTGTATTTTTGCAGGTCAATTATTTGGCACAATTTGGAGTTAAAGACAAAGGAGATTGTATATGTAATTTACTAAGAATTGTTTTTTAAAATGGCATAGCTCTAAAATTAAACTATACAGGGAGAGGACAAAATATTGGAATAGGAAAAATGTTGATTGGCATATGTTGCTATTGGTAAGTGGTTTAGAAAAGTTTATTTTTTCAGTCTCAATTTTGCATGACAGAAATAATTTCAATTTGTAATGTTTCTTTGGTGCATAGTTAAAAAAACAACTTTTTTTTTTTGAAGAAACTGTGAAGTCAAATAAGCATGGCTTATGCAGACATGTGATAGAGATAGTGGAAGCAAAAATAATAATAGTGGGTACCAAATATCATAAACTAAATACGATTCAATAACAAGTAGCTCAGCTGATATCGATACTACTCTATAAATTTTATAGTGAATTTTTTTATTTGAAACTCAATGAGTCAGTTTTCGGTTTAAGTTTGGTGTTTGCAATGTGTATATTTAACCGAGAAATTAAGTTAAATAAATAAATTTTTATACTTGTATCATACATTCTTTTTTTTCTCTATATGTTTTTAATGTAGCGATGCAAATCATCTTATTTGTAACAACGATTTAATGTTGCATAAAACGTTAGGCCGATATACGATATTGGGCCAATGTTGTATACAACGTTAGGCCAATTTGTATACAACGTTGGGCCAATGTTGTATACAACATTGGCCTAACGTTATATACAACGTTCGGTAAACGTTGTATACAACATTGGGTCAATGTTGTACACAACGTTGGGCCAATACCTAACCAATGATCAAACCTGCATTGGGCCAACATCGATTTTCAACGTTGGGCCAATGCATCATCATGCATTGGCCCAACGTTGGTCCAATGTGAGCTTGCTGTCTGGGGATGGTGCCATTCTTCGGGGAGACGATGCATTGAGCTTTGTCGATTGTGTAAAGACTGCATCCGTGGTTGCACAAACAAGATTAGATGCGGCATGATTATCTGTAAATGAAGAAGTAAATGCGATTCACCGGACGACTGGAACGACAAGTTATACACGAAGAAAAAAAGAAATTCGATGTTACAACTGTGAATCCTTATATCACTTTGCACGTGAATATACCTCTTTATACAAAAAATGCTTGCATAAACATGCTGCAAAAAACTGCTACAAACGTCAAAGAAACCAGGAAAACTTAAATGGGACGAGTTCGCATTAGGTATCTTTACAAGAACTCGTCCCGAAACAAGACTACCTACTATTGACTTGGTAATAAACGGAAGAAAAGCTACAGCGCTTGTGGATACTGGTTGTTCGCAATCAATCATCGCCAAGAAGTTACTGCCGCATTGTTATAAAGTGATTCGTGTAGTAAATATTGCAACAATGGGCGGAATAATTCGATGCGAAGAAGTTAGTGCTAAAATATGCCACCATACGAACGGGTGCTTGGTGGATGTGGTGGTTCTGAGTGTAAATGAAGTTATAAACAAATACGACATGATTATGGGTATGGGCTTAATAAAGACGTGTGATGGACTACATATTGGCACTGGAAAACTGAAATTGTGTAATTCTTTGATTGAGTTGTCATCGAACAATTGAAATTGGAACAAGCAAAGCTTATTTGGTTTATATTAAAAATGGATTGAAAGTTGGGAGTAGGAAAACGAACCTAAAATGAAAAATAGAACAAGTCAGTATAATGTAGCTGACCAACATTGTGAGACGTTTAACAACGAAATAAATGGATGGATCAAAGAAGGTATACTCATCAAATATGACGATAAATCATGGGAAAACCTAAAGTTCTACTACCGTTAATGTGTGTCATTCAAGATAATAAAAAGAAGATAAGACCTGTGCTTGATTATCGTGAGCTTAACACGTATGTAAAAGCCTCTACAAGGGATGCTGATGTCATCAATGATGCAATGAGGGAGTGGAGAATCATGAGTAAAAACAGCAATAACTCAATAGTGGATCTAAGAAGAGCAAATTACAAATTCATGTGCATAAAAGGCATTGGCCTAACCAGACGGTCATCTATAAAAATCAGCGATATGCACTTACACGTTTGGGCTTAAGTTTAAGTTTCGCACCAGTGATGATGAGCTCAATATTGCGGTATGTTCTCCAACAAGATTCTGCACTGGCAAAAACAATAAGAGTATACACTGGCATAAACAATAAGAGGATACATTGATGATACCCTAGCAACCAATGGAAATGGAAGAAAGCTGGTGATATATATGAAGAAACGGGGTCTTTATGCAAAAGCACCTGAATATTTTGACGAAAACCCAGTTTGTGCACTAGGATTAGAAGTCACAGTAAATCCATTAACGAAGGAGATGTTTTGGAAGAGAGGACGCGAGCTTCCTATTATTAAATCTGTGCTCACAAAGAGGGATATATTCTTATTATGTGGTAATCTGATTGCTAATCTACCAGTTAATGGATGGTTGAGACCAGCATGCAGCTATATAAAAAGATATACAAACGAAGCAGGTTGGGATGAACCTATTACGCATAAGTATGTTGTCGAAATGATGCAGGAAGTTGTAGATAAAGTCGTTAAGTGCGATCCGGCAAAAGGTGTATAGAATGTTAAACCAAATGCATCTCTGACTGTATGGTGCGATGCAAGCTCGCTGGCAAAAGGAGTTGTTATAACGCAAGGTGACAGAAAGAAAGAAGATGCGACATGGCTACGACCAAAATCTGATGCAATGCATATCAATGTGGCCGAATTAGATGCATGTATTGAAGGTCTGAATATGGCATTGAAATGGAATCCAAGTGATGCCTCTATTAAATCTGATTGTCATAGTGTATTTAGATTGGTTAAATTCTGAATTGACTCGTGACAAACCTGTAAAATGTGCTGGGCAATGCGAAATGTTAATTCGACGGAGACTTCAAATATTTGAAAAATTAGTCGAGGATTATGTCATAAATGTAACTGTTACATGGGTACTAACAACTAAAAATATTGCAGATGAACTCACAAGAGTGCCAACAAAATGGATAAAAAACAAAGTTGCAACACAAGAATGTAATACAATTTATAAGTACGATAAACAGCAGATTCAAAAAATTCATTCACTAGCACACATGGGAGTTTCCAAGAGTATGGAGTTATGTATTCGCGCTGGTATCCACGTTACCAGAGACACAGTAAAACAGGTTGTTGCTGAATGCGATGAATGTAACTCGATTGACCTTAATGTGATGTTGTGAATTTCTATTATTATAACGTTTTTCGTTAATTGTCGACAAAAGTCACAAGTTGTATTATATGCTATATAAAGCGAACAATTTTTTTGAAAAATGTCAACTTTATATATAAGTAAAAGAAAACGTTAACAACAAAAAAATGGCTTTTAAATGTGTCGAACAACAAAAATGTGTTTCACATAGTAAAACAGTAGAGTTTTACCATGTAAAACACATTTAGGGGGTTAACTTAGTGAACAATAATGAAATTTGTTTTCAAGATTGTTCTCATATATTAGGCTGATAACAGAAAACAATATTCAATGTTGCTTTTATAACCACCCTAAAAAACACTCACAATTTACGTTATTGTTTTCAGATTTGTGTGGTTCGGACGGTTTTCCGTATTGTTTTCTTTATGAAAATTGTTATATAAATAAGTGGTTGTGAGGATTATATTAAAAAAAAAATCTGAAATACAGCAACCCATTTTTTCCATTTAATTTAGCTTATAGCTAGTGATTTACTCTTTTTATTTTTTTTCTGAATTTTTGTAAGAATTATGATTGTAAAAGAAAACTATTCTGAAAAAATATCTGTCAATAAAAATTTCTTGATGCTTTTTTCATTCAGAAAACTTGTTTTTATCGGACTAATGCGTAGATTTAACATCACGAAAAAATCACCACTTCATTGATTTATTAATATATAATAAACATATCAATCAGTACAATGAAATAATTCGGAATTATTAATTTGAATTATAAAATTGTAACAATATTTTCATTACTTTTAGTAAATTGTATGAAAATTAACGACATTCCGTCTTGGCTTTTAGAAAATGCTTAGAGTATAAGATTTCCCAACTTCTGTTGAGTAGGAACTCTCCAAAATCAATTATAACAATCGAAACACTCCCTAAAAAATGGAATAAACTTATTATTGAAAAATCAGATTCTACAGTAGCGTATGGAGGATTTTTTGATGTTTATGATAACTAACTTCTAGACTTTTTTTTTTTTTTTTTTTTTTAATTATTCACCTCCCTAAGGCCTGAGGGGGCCCACTACAGTCAAGGAGGCTACTCTTTTCTTTTTCTTTTTTTTTTTTTTTTGTTGTTGTTGTAAATTGTGGTACAACCCTCTCTCAGCTCTTTAACTCCGAAACACGAACATTGACAAGCAAGGCCGCTGCACGGAGAAACTAAGTTGAGAAATTATGGAGCAAACATCAAACTTTTGTATGTTTGAGTTTACATCGAATAAGGATGGTTTGCAAAAAATTGAGATGATTGGAGTCTGGGAACAAAAAAGCTCAAAACTTTCGCGCACCCTTGCCTATACGTGAGAGCAACAAGTTGATAATATATTTATTTTACTATTCTCAACTAAACTTATATTTATCGATAAATTTTTAGTTTTATAGTATTATCTCTTAGCGTTCAAAAATTATGACCTTACAAAGTTTTTATTCCCCTTTCTATTCTTTTCCCCTTATTTCCCCATTCGCACATTTTATATATATAGTCATAAATATAAACATATAAATGTTTGAAATTTGCTCCATGTCTGGAAGTTAGCTATCTCAATAGACACCAACGTGAAGGTAGCCAAGATGTCTATCATCACAAAACATCACAACAATAACTTAACAATGATTATACACAACAACACAGCGTATAAACATATAACAACTTACTGATAAGCCAACACGGTATCAGAGCTTGAAACAGAACACAAACATAAAACAACTTACGAATGAAGCAACACTGCGTCAGAAGTTCAAACAAAACAAAAACAGACACAACAATAATGTAACAATGATAACGCAACAATAACATAGTAAATATAAAACGACTTAAGGGTGAGCCGACAGGACGCCAGAGGTTTACACAGAACCCAATTATATATAAAATGTTTAACATTTGAGCGAACACCATGCCAGAGGTACAAACAGAACACAAATAAACATACCTCAACCCTATTAGCAAGTAAAAACACAAAAGATTATAAATTACTTCTTTAAAAACTGTGTTTTTGATGGAGCATTATCAAGAAATTTCCAAGAAACTCTCTTTTGCTTAAATCTTCCTTTGGTATTCCCTGTAACTAGTGCAATAGAACGTTGCATACGCAAGGTGTTGAATTTATAGCAAAACTGAATCAAAGTTGGATTATCATTTCGCCTTCCAAGGTAAAAATAAAAAATTTTAGTCTAACAAAATACAATGTTTAAACAATGTTCTATTCAAATGTAGTTATTCAATTTAATAATTTGTTTCACTGTTCAGATAAATGAGAATAACGTAAGTGTTTGGGCAGG